AAATGCAATGTGCAATTCTGGATTGAATTGGATCCCGTTGAGGAAGAGGACATCAGTGAAATAATAGGTACCAACAAAATGAAGTCTGTTAGCTCAGGGTACTAGACCAGTATTAATTTCCTAGTTGTCATAGTTGCACCATGGTTATGTAAAATGTTAGCATTAGGGTAAGCTAGGTAAAGGGTATGTTTGCAACTTTGCTATAAATCTAAAAATGTTACAAAATACAAATTTTCAGGTAATATAAAAATAAAAATAAACAGATCACCAAAACTTTAGCTGCCTGTTTCATGGCCATTTCCTTATAGCTTGTAATTCACTCACTCCTTTTTTGTTTTGTTTTGTTTTGAAATGGAGTCTCACTCTGTTGCCCAGGATGGAGTGCAGTTGCATGATCTCTGCTCACTGCAACCTCTGCCTCCTAGATTTAAGCAAGTCTCCTGCCTCAGCCTCCTGAGTAGCTGGGATTACAGGCACCTGCCACCACACCCAGCTAATTTTTGTGCTTTTAGTAGTGATGGGGTTACACCACGTTGGCCAGGCTGGTCTCGAACTCCTGACCTCAAGTGATCTGCCTGCCTTGGCCTTCTAAAATGCTGGGATTACAGGCATGAGCCACCGTGCTCAGCCTCCGTCATTCTTTACAAAAATTAAAAAAAAAAACAAAAACAAAAACAAAAAAACAAAACAGGGATCCAAGAGGATATGTGTGAAGACCACTATTCACTGTAAACAAACCAGAGCAATTATTCTTGGAATGTGTATGGCCTCACAAACACTATGCCCTACACATACACACCGCACACTGCTAAGACTGGTTCCAAACACCCGGCTACATTATTTTCCCTTCAGGCTGAGAGCCTGAGGTTTCACTTGGCCACTGGCCACGGCAGGATTGTTCCACGTTATTTTTTTTTCTTTTATTTTCCTTTATTGGGGCAACAATGCTGCAGCTGAGCCTCTGTAGAAAGAGAATGACATTCTTTCCATTTTTTTTTTTTAAGAGGAGCAGTTAAAAATACACATTGGTACGTACTGCAATTATCATTCAGAATAAATGCAGGAACAGTGACATTAACTAACGGGAGTGCAGCAACTGCCGGCTTGTTGAAAGCCATCCTCAGCACAGTGCGGAGGTGTCCAATGGTAATTGCTCCTTTAGTCTATCTGTCTGATGTCACGAGGGAATCCACTGGGTAAACCCAAGGCTGCTTTTTACCTCAGCATGGCCCAGAGTCAGCTTGTCCTCAATAAGGTGTTTGTTGGCAAGTGGGTAAAAAGCTACAATATGATCATGATTTCATTAACTTAAACTTTAGCAGTGCCTTTGATTAGCTGGAATTGGCCAACAGAAGACTCAAGGAAAACCGATAACAGAATAATTAATAAGAGGCACTAATGTTAACTGGAAAACCAACCAAATGCCAGATAGCACCAGGCACCTGACCAGGTCTTTAATCCTCTGACCAATCTGCTGAGAAGCAATGCCGTGCAACTTGTAGAAATGGGGCTTGGAGCTGGTAAATGACCACCAGCTTACACTTCGGCAAGCGGCAGGCATGGACTTCTCTCCAGCCCAGCCCAGAGTGTCAGCATCATGCCTTGCACTCTGGGTGCTTAGATGACTGTTTTACTCATTTATTGATTCTGTCATACCCCCCATTCTAAAAAGGAATGGGGATGTCTTACAGAAACTCCACAAAACTAGAGAGAAAATTATATGCATTCCCAGTTGGGTGTGGTGGCTCACGCCTGTAATCCCAACATTTTGGGATGCTGAGGTAGGCAGATCGCTTGAGCTCAGGAGTTCGAGAGCAGCCTGGGCAACATGATGAAACCCTGTGTCTACCAAAACTATAAAATCTCAGCTGGGCGTGGGGACGTACATCTGTGGTCCCAGCTACTTACGATGCTGAGGAGAGAGGATCGCTTGAGCTCAGGGCGGAGGTTGCAGTGAGCCAAGATCACACCACTGCACTTTAGCCTGAGCAACAGAGTGAGGCCCTATCTCATTTTTTAAAAATGCATTCCCAAAAGTATCTAGTGCAGAAGTTGGGGCTGGAGCTTTCTGATGAGAATCTAGCAGTCAAAGCCGCAAGATCCATGATGTGAGTGAGGAAAAAAGCAAACAGCAGAAAAGTTAGGGAGGACACAGCAGGATACATGCTTAAGGCATGCACCCCTTCTTAGAATATACCTTAGACACCAATGGAGTGCTACAAAAGCCATAGACCGTGTATTAAATCATTTATTTTCATTCTCCACAGAGTCTTGCACCTACTGAATCACAGGTGATGCAATTTGCTCATCTGTAAATAATATCCACTTCAAAAGAATACTGTGAATGTCATTAGGCAACACATGTCAGCATGTCAATGGCTCAGCACACGCCTGCCATATGCGAGGGCTCAACATAAATGTGACACAAGGTTATTAACTTGGGTTAAAATTGTTTAAAGCAGGCAAAACTGCTAAAGGTTACATAGTAGTGGGATGACATGTTTCAGTACTGGCCACCTGTGGGAGAGGTAGAAGAGGAAAGAGAGAATAGAAGAGGGAAAGGAAGAGGGGAAGAAGGCAAGAAATAAGAAGAGAGGTGAGAAACAAATGGAAGGGAATGGGAAATGGGAAAATCAGAGGAGGACAGGGAGAAGGGAGAGATAGAGTGGAGAGAAAGAAGAGGGAAATGAGAAGTGGGGAAGAAGAGAAGATGAAGGGGAGGGAAGAGGAGGGGAGGAGACCAAAGAGATTATCAATCTGATCAGAAACAGGAGCCTCTGCTCCCGAAGATTCCAGAGTGGGAGGAGGAAGAGGGAGTTCCCCCATCTTACTGGGCCTCTCCCCAGGCACAGAAGCCACATGTCTGTCTACTTCACTATTGTCCTGTCACCTCCTCCCGTGGAGAACAACTGAGCTCCTCTGTGCTTTGGTGATAGGGAAACGGTCCTTCCCTCTGCCTCTCAGAAGCTGGGCAGGACCAATCTCTATCCACTCACCCTTTCATTTACTCAAAAAATGACTGTAGATACCACAGCAAGCAAACAGATGAACCCCGCCCTGGTGGAGATGATGCACTACTGGAGGACGCAGGCAGAGCATTGGAAGTTACAACATGGGGTGTAAAATCTTTGACAAGAAAAGCCCAAGACAGGAACCAAACCTAGAGGAACATGGGAAGTTCCCCAGGAAAAGAAATCAATGCCCCCAGAAAGACTGAGGTTCCCTTGGAGTCTACCCACAAAGCGAGAGCTGAGAGCAGAACACAGGGAGGAAGCAGGATGTGCAAATCTCGGAGTTCGGCAGGAACATGGCAGATCCTGGAAACGGAGAGAGAATGGCCGAAGCTGGAACACTGGGCTGTGCTGGACAGGGTTGGGGAGGATCTCTAGCAGGAAGGAGAGACCAGGAAGGGATGGCCTCAGAGAGGACAATGAGAAGCTAGACTTCTAAACCGTGTCTCATTGAAGTCTTTCGTAATGAGACAAGAAGATGCTCTTTGTTGTTTTGTTTTGTTTCCAGGAACAGCCTCTGATGGCAGTACGAGAGGGGACCAGGCTGGGGAAGGAGCCAGAAGATATTGTGAAGGCTGTCACAGGCAGTTCGAGAGGACCTAGGGAGAGTGCAGGGTGCTGGGGAAGATATCCAAGGGCTAGCTACTCAGGAGACTGGATTTGTTGGACTGTATGTGGCATTGGGTGTTGGGTTGTGGGGAGATGCAGAGAAAGTTAAAGACAACTCTAGGACTTCAGGTCTGGACAGGTGGTGGAGGGAGATGCTGTCCCTGAGACAGAGAGAGAAAGAAGCTAGTTGGTCTTATACAGGTTTGTGGTCTTATGGCAAGGCCATGTAAATTGCACAGAGAAGTTGGATATTTGGGTCTAGAATAGAGGTCAGCAAACTGTGAAAATGGCCAAGGAGAGGATGTTTTTGGTTTTGTGGGTTGTACGATCCTTGCTACAACTACTCACCTCCACTGTTGCAGCTAGAATGCAGTCACAGAGGATGCGTAAACCATTGGATGTGGCTGTGTTCCAGCCAAACTGATTTACCAAGGTGGTGACAGGCTGGATTTGGCTAGAGGGTCACTGCGTGCTGACCCCTGATTGAGAGCATCAGATAGATGTCTGGGCTGGAAACAAATATTCAGGGAAAGTGATTTGAAGTAATGAGTGTGGATTACATAGAGAGATATAGATTTAGATATATCTATTAAGACATATACTCTACTTTTCTATGTATAGATATATAGATGTTAAGAGATTTATTTTAAGGAATTGGCTCACATGACTATGGGCCTGGCAAATCTGAAGTCTGCAGGGCTTGGTAGCAGGCTAGGAACTCAGGCAGGAGTTGATGCTGAAGTCTTGAGGCAGAATTTCTTTCTTTCTGGGAAACCTCAGTATTTGTTTTTACGGCCTGCAAGGAATTGGATGAGGCCCATCCTCATTATCGAGGGTAATTTATATTCCTTAAAGTCAACCACATCTGCAAAATACCTGCCCAGTGCACCTGGATTAGGTTTCAGTTAAATAACTGGGTACTATATAGCCTAGCTGAGTGGACACATGAAAGTCACCATCACAGGGGTCATCTTAGAATTCTGCTACTCCACTTTTGTAAGCAGCCACATCATGCTAATAACCCATGTTGTGGTTATGGTCAATGAAGACCCCAATAAGTTAAGGTATCATTTCTGTTTTGATCCTAGATGCCCCAAGTGCCCATATCTATATCTATATCTATAGATACATATATATCTGTTGCCCAGGCTGGAGTGCAGTGGCATGATCTTGGCTCACTGCAACCTCTGCCTCCCAGGTTCAAGTGATTCTCCTGTCTCAGCCTCTCAAGTAGCTGGGATTACAGGCATGTGGTACCACACCTGGCTAATTTTTGTATTTTTAGTAGAGATGAGGTTTCACCATGTTGATCAGGCTAGTCTCGAACCCCTGACATCAAGTGATCCTCCCGCCTCAGCCTCCCAAGCTGCTGGGATTACAGGGATGAGCCACTGCACCCGGCCCAGTGCCCATATCAATATCAATGTTCCAGGTTATGTCTGCCTTTGTCCAAGAGCAGAACAGCATTCACTGCTCTTTCCCTGCCTGGAAAAGCCCCATTAAATGCTTCTCAGGTAAGATGGCCACCCAGCGCCCTCCCTTCTCTGAGGCTCATGGGTTCAGAAGGTTGTGAAAGGGGTCACAAACTTCCTGCCTCCTTCCTCATGCAAACCCCAGTGGTGAGTGCCTGTGTATCCGCAGTGGAGGAGCCCTGCGTGCTGGCAGTTCTTCAGTGGGAGAAAGGCATTTGCAAAGCCTAATAATGGCACCATACATATGTATACATTTTACACAAAGCCCATTTATTTTAAAAAATCAATTTCTCTCCTACAGATGGCACATTGCATAAAGAAACGCGAACCCAGCAGCACCCCTGCCAGCGGCAATTCTGAGCGCTCATTTCCGTGTTGCCAAGACATTACATGGAAAGGCATGTGCGTTTAAGGACGTCCAGTTGTTTCTGTACCAGAACAGCAGCAACATCCTGGGCAGGCCTTTCCTCTGGAGTTCATGTGCAGGTCGTACTGACGCACAACACGGCCTAAAGGAACCATGGAGGAGGAAGGGACCCTAAATCCAGGCCAAATGGGAGCAGGATTGTCCTCAGGTTAAGTGCCAAGAACATAGTGCCTGGAAAGTTTATTGCATTCCCTCAGTTTCTCCAGTCATAAACATTCAGGATCTGATGACTTCCTTATGAAAGGTAAGGTAGATTTGCCACCTTCTAGATAGCACGCATCACCCCACCCACATCCCACATCACCTCACCCATATCCACGCACATTGGCAACAGAACTGACAGCTTGCTTTTCCAGGAATACAAGCATGTTCAATACTACCGGGCACACATGTTTGATTGCAAATCACATCACAATGTGGAAGCAGACATGACTGTCACTGTGACTGTGACTGTCATTCTCTGCCTCACCTTTGACGATGGTTGCCACTGGTGTGGATGTTTCCGGGAGGCTTCTGCTCCCCTGGTGCTAGTAGCATCTTACCTCAAACATGCACAACATGGCCCTGCTTTCTCTGTCATTGGAAGGGCGCTGCTCCTACAGTGATGTTCCTCCAGCCTGTATGTACAAGCATAGATCAGACCTACAGGGGTGTAAGCAGCCCTGGGGCTGCCCTCAATTAAGGAAGCAAGGTGGGAACCAAAAGCCTCCTTCCCTCCCTGCTGACACTTACCAGCAGCATCCTGAGTGTTTTGCAGACAGCCCTGGAGAAACCGCACTCCACAGCCTACAGCAGCATCATCGGTAACACACCTGGCACTGGTGTTCCCTTCTTAACTGCTTCCTCACTCCTTGACAACCTGCCAAATAAACCATCTAGGTAGAAGTCCTCATCCCAGCTCCTTCTGATTTCAGGAGGACCCCAGCTAGAACACTATCTCTGGAACCCATGGTGCCCTCTCACTAAAGTGCCCCAGTGTTGGCACAAAACCTACCGAATTGTTGGTGCTGACTCTCTATATCCATGATTCAACCAGAACAACATTGATTGGTTAAAAGGTGCATTAATAAACTTGACTCTGGAAACAACAGGTCCCTGAAAAATTTATATCTCTAGGAAATTAAGAAACTATGGTAATCCAGGGAGGCCGAGGTGATTTCGAACATGATTTCAAGAAGCAAGTATCTACTTAAACTGACTGGTACAGGCTGGTCGCGGTGGCTCACGCCTGTAATCCCAGCACTTTGGGAGACTGAGGTGGGCGGATCACAAGGTCAGGAGATTGAGACCGTCCTGGCTAATGTGGTGAAACCCTGTCTCTACTGAAAATACAAAAATTAGCCAGGCATGGTGGTGGGCACCTGTAGTCCCAGCTACGCAGGGGCTGAGGCAGGAGAATGGCATGAACCCGGGAGGCAAAGGTTGCAGTGAGCTGAGATCGTGCCACTGCACTCCAGCCTGGGCAACAGAGTGAGACTCCATCTCAAAAGAAGAGAAGAGAAGAGAAGAGAAGAGAAGAGAAGAGAAGAGAAGAGAAGAGAAGAGACCAAACGACAGTAATCCCTTTGCAACCTCAAACTTCCATCCAAACAAATTATAATCCATTCACCTTTACTTCTCCATACTTACTTTCAACAATGCTGTGGATCAAGTGTGTAGAGGGGAGGACACTCACAAAACATACTGACACAATAGCAGTGAGGGGATTGGGGCCAGAGCCAGATTTTTTGCAATGAGATCTTGGGACGGAAAGGAAGCAAAACACACTCTCATCCTGCAGCCTGCTTTCTCTGAAACGCTGCAGAAAGGAGGAAAATTTGTGTTGAGGGCCTCCAGACCATGAACAGGCAATGCTCTCTAGAAGGTAGAGCAGAAGGAAATCAAAAAGGTGACAAATATAAGGTCAAGAACCAGACACATAAAATAAGAGTCTTGTGTCTACACAAACATCATAGCATTTGTATCAGTCTGAATAAAAGAGGTTGTGCTGTGTAACAAATAATGCAACATCTCAGTGACCTAAAGCCACCGACTTTTACTTCCTGCTTAGGTTGGCTGCCCATTAATGGCTGTGCTCCATGCTGTCTTCCCTCCAGGACCTGGCTGATAGGGCAGCCCCTGTCAGATTCACGACCATGATTGCAGGGGGAAGAGTTGGCAAATTGCTCACCAGCCCTCAAAGCTCCCACCCGGGTGTAACACATCTCACTTTTGCTTGCTTGTCATTGGCAAACACCCATCACATGGGCCACACCTAAAGGTTAAAAAATATAATCTGGCCTGGCGCAGTGGCTCATGCCTCTAATCCCAGCACTTTGGAAGGCCAAGGCGAGCAGATCACTTGAGGCCAGGAGTTGGAGACCAGCCTGGGCAACATGGAGAAACCCCGTGTCTACAAAATATACAAAAATTAGCCGGGTGTGGTGGCATACACAGGTAGTCCCAGCTACCTGGGGGACTAAGACAGGAGGATCGCTTGAACCTGGAGGTCAAGGCTGCAGTGAGCCAAGATGACACCACTGCCCACCAGCCTGGGTGACAAAGTGAGACCCTATTTAAAAAATATATATATACAGTCTTACTAGAGGGCAGAGAACTAGAAATACCTGGTAAATAACAATGTTGATTTCTACAAACAGCATTTGTGAACACCTCCTCCAGGCCTCAGAAGGAGAAGCTCCTGGACTTTCGGGGCACAAAGGATGCTAAATGGGTATTCCATGTGTAATTGCTTTTTATTTTTCTTGCAATTTTCAGGCACAGAAAATCGTATTCACACTCTAGTAACCTGTAGTTTATCATTATTGTCCTAAAAATTTTTATTAATATATATCCATGAATTTTAAAGTAATCACATTTTAGTTACATAGAAATGTAACTATTTAAATGTAACATTTAAAATATTTTATTTTTAATGCAATTTAATTTATGTATGAAGGCATTCATCTTTGCACTCAAGGATTTCAGCCACCCTCGTTCTTTTTTCCTATAAAGGCCTACATTCTGGAATCACACATTTGCCTCTTCTGAGTAACTTTATGACCTCTTTTTTTGGTGCTTGGGGAACCCCATCACAGAAAACCAATTCCACAGTCCTAATATTGAGGAGCATCCCATATTAAGGGCAAAAATAAGCATGAAAAGGAGAGGGAGAGAAACAAAAATCAAATAACCAAGAAGGTCAGATAACCAAGAAGGTCAGAATAATCAAGAAGGTCAGAATGAAAACAGAGAGGGACAGGGGCTGATGTGTAGAGGGCCCACTTGTCCCACGCCCTTGCCGCGTGAGGTGGCTGATCAGAGGGCAGCCTTGCAGGGGATTGCAGCTGCAGAAGAGCTGTTCAGAAATGCAGAGCTGTCCTTCCAGGCAGCCCTAGTCCTTCCCACGCAGCTTGAGCCTTAATTTAGGAATGTGGTCCTCAGGTCTCAAGGGGACCACCTCTGCACACTGTGGTGCCAGGGCCCCAAAGCCTGTGGGGCTGGTGGTGAAGGAGGAATCTGAGATTCAACCTGGGGACCAGGAGGGTCATCTCAGCTTAAGGATCCGCCCTGCAACGCGGCCCAGAGACTTGTCCTCCTCACCCGGCCACGCAGGATCACCCCCAACACGCACACTCCAAACCATGTGTCTCCCTCCTACCTGACCACAGCAACGCCCCCTCTCAGAACCCACCCACTGGGAATTCACTACCAAATTTGAGAATTAAAGCAGGAAGGGCTTTCACGGAAGAGAAGAAAGTCTTTCTGTTTGTCTGTTTCTTGCTCAGTAACCAAATGCATCTCAATAATAAAATAACCCAGAGGGAAGGAGCATCAGGAAAATGGGTTTATTTATGGTTTCTAGCCAGGACTCTACTTAAGTTTTTCTGATATTCGTAATTAATTGAGGAGGGAAAGATCACTGACTTTTCAAGCACCATGTCTTCCTTAGGCATATGGTCCTTAGGCCTTGTGGGAACTGCCTCTGCACCTGTGGTGCAGGTGCCCTAAAGCCCATGGGGTTGGTAATGGAGGAGGGAAAATCTGAGGTTCAGCTCAAGAATCGTGTGCTCTGGGAGAGGAGATACCCAGGGCCCGCATGCTGCCTGTGACCATCCACAAGCTTTGTGTCTCTGCACAAGTCCCTTAGCACCTCTGAGTCTATCTCCTCAGCTCTAAAATAGAAAACAAGAAGAAGCTGGATTAAAGGCTGGCAAAGGCCCCTTCCCACTCTAAATAACATACTGTTATGAATGCCAGGATTTGGGCCCCATTTTATACCAGTCTAGAGTATGCTAAAAAACTTCGACACCTTATCCTCTCCACCTGGGCTACACTTGACCTTTCCTCTCATGTAGGCAAAGTCCCTGGAGGCAGACTCCATGTCCCCCCTTGATATGGTTTGGTTGTGTCCCCACCCAAAATCTCATCCTGAATTATAATCCCTGTAACCTCCATAATTCCCGTAATTCCCTTGTGTTAAGGGAAAGACCAGGTGGAGGTAATAGAAGAATCATGGGGGCGGTTTCCCCCATGCTCTTCTCATGATAGTGAGTGAGTTATCATGAGATCTGATGTTTTTATAAGGAGTTCTTCCCCGCTTTGCTTGGCATTTCTCCTTTATGCCGCCTTATGAAGAAAGTGCCTTGCTTCCTCTTCCCCTTCCACCATGATTGTAAGTTTCCTGAGGCCTCCCCAGCCATGCTGAACTATGAGTCAATCAAACCTCTCTTTTCTTTGTAAATTATCCAGCCGTTGACAGTTCTTTACAGCATTATGGAAATAGAATAATATACCCGTCCTACATCCTCCCTCTGACTGTCCAGAAGTGGAGATGCACCATAGATATTCTTTCAAGAGTCATCTTGAGACTACACAAACGACAAACCCTTCTAGGCCTCAGTGTTCTTTGCTCTTGTCAGCTTTACTTAGATACATTAATTCACTTGTAATAAGAGTTCACATTTTCTTGACACTTGCTATATGTCAGGCATTGCTTTAAACAGGTTCCTTTTTCTAAACTTTCTCATATTCAGTCCTCAGTAATGTGATGAGTCAGATGCTATTATCGTTAACCCCATTTCACAGATGAGTTCACTGAGACACAGAAAGGTAAGTACCTTTCCCAAGGTCATACCTCTAGGGAGGTGAGCAGCAGGACCCAAACCTGCAAATCCAGCTTGAGAGCCTATGCCCTTCAATTTATATTGATCTATCCACCTACCCACTTCTACAGGTTTCGCTCTGCTCATGCCTCTTCCCTTCTTCTAAAGGTCAGCCACCATTTCTCTGCTCAGGATTACACAGTGTCTTTGTTTCAAGACAGTTGCTATCTGTGTACAACTATGGCCTCCCATCATCTCTCAAAACAAAAGCCTGAGAATAGGAGAGATGAAAATGCAACTTTCGTAAGATTGTGTGTGTGTGTGTGTGTGTGCGCGCGTGTGTGTGTGGCAGGGAGGCCAAGGACTCTGTGCCAATGCCAGCTGTGAATGGAGCTGGGGGTCTTCACTGTGTCCCTTCCTCATCCTCATCCACTAAACCCCAGCAGGCCAGCTCTACTGCAAGAAACTCCACTCTAGCCCAGAAGATATTTTCTAATTTCACCTCCTTGGAGTTTTCATTTCAGCAATGAATCTTATCAAATAGCTATTGCTCCAGAAGAATTTTCAAAGAAGAAATGAAAACCACGATCACCAAGGTGAGGAAACAGATGCATTTTATTCGGTTGTAGAAGTGAGAAGACCAAAATCACTCTCCTACCCAGAAAATATGTTCTTGTTGGCCCCTGATCCAGGCTTCTCTGTGTTTCTGACATCAGACAAGAGCAGCAAAGGATTTTACCCAGCGATGCCTGTCTGCAGTCTCCCCGGGCCATGTCTCTGCCCTCACTCATCTCTGGAAGACCAGGCCTGGTGGAATGAGCATCTGTCCATGGCTCCATTTCCTCCCCTGTCAGATGATGAGACTAACACCTGACCTGCCGGCGGTCAC